ATAAAAGCCAGTCTGCTTTTTTCCCACGTGTTATGAATTTGCAGACTAGAAAGACAAGCAACGGAAGTAATTTTGGTTGGCTGATTCGGCAAATGTCAATCAATCAAAAAAGTGAGCGGCAGACGTTTCGTAGAAGGTTTGTATCAGGCTCTCTTTTCGTTTCGCCTTGCCTGCCGGAATGTAATTTTCAAAGCGAAACGAAAATAGAGCCTGATCTCAGGTTACTCTATTACACTTTTATTGCACTTGTTTTGTCTCATCAAAGATAAAGGACAAGATATTACTCATTTATTGCACTTGTTTTGTTTCATTAAAGAGCGAGATATATTTCACATGTATCCCGCTTAAAAATCGAGGTATGTTTCACATTTATACCGCCAGATATATTACACACACACTTTATTTAACTTTTTTCTCTTTGTACATGTACACACGTACTACTCCTGATAAAATTCAGGCAATAAAACTCTGTATTGCGGGCAGTTTAAATAAAAACTTCAGGTGACATATATGTACATGTAACTCTGGTTTTGGGTGACATAACTTCAGGCAAGATGACTTTCATTTGACTTGACCGGTTACTAACCAGACAGTGGATCCAAAGAAAGATGAAGGGCAAGATATATTAATCTAACTTTTATTATGAAGGGAATCTATTTTTTGATACAGTGAAATTAACAATGTTTTGCATCTAACTGACTTTATGATGCAGCAAAAGGACTTGTAATGAAATGACTTTGCAGAGACAAAACTGGACACCGACTAGTTCAGCAGTGCTTGAAACTTTTATGGACGGTGTTTTGAATGCCCACTGTAAGCTCCAAACTAACAAAATGGACTGAACAATAGTTATTAAATTTTTTCTGTTTTATCTGTATTTAATTGTAGTTTCATCAAATCAGCTGATAAGGTGTACCTAAAGGCAAAGGATCACGATTTTGAAGGAGATGAGGAGAATGCTTATGTATTCTACATGCGTTTTTTTAATATTATCACCTTGATAAAGAGGAGCAATAAATACACAGAGAAAAAAGTAAGTGAAGGATTGGAAAAGCCAGGAAATAGCTCTCCAAGCTAATTTATTTTTTGTACAAAGTGTTGATGAATTATATTCTGCATGTTCATGTATATGTTGTAGTTAATTTTTCGTCTCAAGTAATTTTTTTTTGTTTTTGGGTATGTTAATGAATGTTACTGTGAAACTCACAAAACTATGAAAACCAGAAATATTCATGCAATGTTATTGTGTTGCGAGAAATTAGCCAATAAGGCACGAGATAACTAACACTCAAACAGCAGACGGTTATTAGTTTGTGGTTTTGAGGTTTGCTTGCGTATTCCTGAACTTTAGTATAATTGGCCAGTACACAATCAACACTCCTGAAATTTTTCAGGTGTTCACAGTTTTTGGAGTTTGACAGTAATGGAGTTGAAACAAAAGAAAAATAAAAATTTACCTGAGACAAAAAATTAACTACAACATAAATTATATGTTTATGTGATTGGTGACAACCAGTTCCCTTCCATAACTTATGTGAACTTACCTCAAGTTACAGGTGCTTTAAGGCCAACGTCACCAGTTGAAGCTTATACAAGTTACTATCAGAAACTTTCAGAAATGTTCAGTCAAATCAAGTAAAGCACAATTCCATAATTCTTTAGACATTTTTAAAAAGAAATGGTCTCAATTAAAAATCTCCCCTCTTTAACTGAATGTACTATTCTGTGGAAGTGAACTGTAGGCAGTGCTCTGTAGATTAAAAGATTTAATACATTACCTGTCCTGTTTAAGTTGTCTGTCTGTCTGTTTGTTTGTTTGTTTTTAAAGTCATTGTTGATATGTCTTCCCGTGTGGAAAAATGATTTCAAAGCACTTTAGTATGATTATGTCACTTGTCAGTTTATGTAATGATGTATCATTATCGTGTATCGTATCGTGGCACCTGTATCGAGATATGTATCGTATCGTGAAAAAATGTATCGTTGCAGCCCTACCTACTTTTTAGGAAAAAAGGATAAATTGAGAGAGTGAAAGCCTGAAATTGCCTACAGCACTCAGTGACCATGCCGCCTACTCAGGGGCGGATCCAGGATTTTTCTTAGGAGGGGGTGCACCACTAACTGACTGATGACGTAAAAATTTTTATAAGCGAATACCAAGAAGAGGGCTTTTGACTAGGAAATAACATAATGTGAGCTACTGAGAATACATATCAAACCATACAGCAGATTTTGTATGACTGTGAAGCGACTGCACAGTGTTAATTAGAAAGCCGCAGGTCATCCCGGGGGGGGGGTACGCACCCCCTGCACCCTCCCCCTAGATCCGCCCCTGTACTTTTGCATCCTAGCACTTTAAAACTTAATGAGAAACCTGGATTGAATTAGTATTTCCTTTGTTTTACATAATTATGGCTATAAAACATAGGAAATTCTTAATCAAAGTGAGTTGAACACTTTCTTAACTTGAGAACAGATTATACCTTCAACACATAGAGTGAATGATTTTAATTCTTTCATATGCTCTTTTAATTTTAGAAGTTTTATGATGAGTTGATGGGGAAAACAAAAACCTTAAGAGCCATTGAACGGGCAGAAGCTTTACAAAAAAGCCTTGACAAGAGGTTAGTACATTATACATGTACATATGTAAAGCATGGTTTTCTTTCTTGTGACAAAAGCATATAGAAATGCATCAGAAAGACAGACTTGCCAAGTCTGATGACTTTGTTGTACATGCGAGTTTGATGATTTCACGACCTGTCTCAGACTCTCACAAGTTGCAACTGATTTCTCATGCTTTCTTGAAAAGTCAAACTCCAAAAGTTTTGGAGCTTTAGGGTACCAGATAGCCAGCTCAACCCAAAGAAAATGCTTAGTGGTCACGTTTGATTACATTCTGCCACCAAATGTGCAGATTTCCTGTTTCTGTTGTTTCAAGATGGCTGCCAACAAAACACCAGGCAAAATGTAGAAAGTACAAAATGTAAATTGTAAAATTGATTGTGATGTTTACTGCCCCGGCTTTAAAGTGATTTAGTGGCTGCCATTACCCATAATCCCCACGGGAAAGTCCTTTCACTAGGAAATTTGGGACATCTCACAACTTTTTACCCATATCTCACTACTTTTCAGAGCTCTAGGTTCAGAATCTCACAGTTTTTGCCTTTTGGGGGTTGGCAAGTCTGGTAAGGGTCACTAATGGACCAATATTGGTTATTGCGTCACTAGATGTTTTCAATCAATAGTCCATTCTGAGTGATGGTCAGCACACTGCTTATAGCACTTATCAATCTTTATGTGTTTTTCTAGCAGCTGTATAACATTGCTGATTTATTGAATATTTATAATCTTTATGCACTACTCAGATGCCCTGTCATGTTCAGGCCTTCTTACATTAGAGCAACGAAGGACAGAGCTGTGTAAGGGATGTTTCATTATTCATGGGGATGACTGGGTCGTTTTTTCCCAAAATATGCCCATTTTCAAATCATGCCATAAATTTAAAGGACTGTCAAAATTTGTTATATGTTTTTTAACACCTGCCACATAGAAAAGCATCAAGGCGAACAAAAAATATGATAGAATCATACACTGACAGTATAAACAACATTTAAGTTTTGCATGCACTGTGTTTTTACAGTCAAGCCAGGTCAAGCATACCCCCAAAAATTCCATCAATGAATTTATTATTCGAAAGTTGAGTCCATTGGCAGTTGTAGATTTCAGATTCATCTCTACATTCTTGCATGTGTAACGAGCCGTGAATTCACGCGCGATTCACTTACGAAATTTCTACCAGCTTAGTTTCCCTGAATTTGATGTAAATGTCTTGTAAGAATTTTAATTCATTCAAAGATTTTCAATCTGACCAAATACAGACAAGTTCTCGTAAATTATTCACTGCTCATTTTGCATGCGGTAATTCCAATTTGAATTTAACACTAGTTACGGGAACAACTAACGGATTCATTTTTCAAATAATCAATTCATTAATAGAATCTTGGGGGGGTACGCTTGACCTGTTTTGACTGTAATAAAACTGGCGAGAACTTTTTTTTTTGTGGGGGGGGTATTTTTTTTTGTGGTTAGTAGAGTAAGAGATTCAGTAGCGTGAAAGCTTAACCGACAACAGAAAAAAGCGTTGAAGAGGGGGCACCCCTCACCCTCTCCCCCATTATTTTCTGTTTGGACCTCACTTCAGCTTTCGAACGGCTGTAACTCTTACTTTGCAAACCACAAAAGAAAAAAACACAGCAAAAAACCACCATCTACGCAGGCTATAGCTAAGGCCCAGTTCAGATGCCAAACTTTTCAAAAGCTGAACCTAATTCAAATAAAGGCCAACCTAAATTATTTCAACAAGCAGAACTGATTCAGACGCCGATCTTAGTTCTAGCTGAACTAAATTCAAATGGAGGAAAATGCTCATTTCAGTTAAAATGCCTAGAAAATGCATTGTAAATATTATTTATGCATTAGTTTCGGTACATGAAAATTCAGTGTCTGAATCAAAACCATTCCAAAGTAGATCTTGGCTAGGTGGGAAGAAAGACTGAGCCATTCCAAATTGAAACAGGCATTCCTAACTGATTCAGATGCTGAACTTTTCATGTACCAGTATGTAATTCAATGTTTTAGGCTGGACTCTTAAAAGATAGACGTCTGAACTTTGCCTTAGAGTACATGTACAGAGGTAGGATCCACAAGCAGGTAGACCCCTCTACGATGCAGATCACTTGACAATCTCTAATATAAATCCCAATCACCAAAATGTGTTTTTGACAGTCTCACTAACCTTACCTTAGTCTTTCACCCACAATATATAATTACAAAGTCTAAAGGACAATCAAAATAGTTCAGTGGACCTTGTTTTTTCCTATTCAATTTTCGATCTGAAAGACTCCTCAACAAATTTAATCCCTGTGCTTTAAAATACATGTAGAAACCCTTACCTTGAATAAGTTGCAGACTTTGTTTGCTAGAATTTTCTCATACTGATTGAGAATGACTGGATATCGAATCTCCTTCCCTTGGGAATCTCTTTCAACTTTTCCATCAAGTGATGGAGACTTGCGAGCTTCTGCATGGGCATACTCAGGCCCTACTGTGTACACCTACAGAGAATTAATCAGACATTAAAAACTCAAGCGGGATTTTGAAGATCACATGCACAGATACCACATGTGCAGATTTCTGATGCAAATTTCTGCTGAGACAAATCCTCACAGTCACGTATACCCTGAAACACCTACATTTTTCACCCAACTATTATTTTTGAAAGCTGATAAAAAAACAAATACAGTACTTGTAAATCCCAAAACTGGAAGAATATTTTCTCACTTGCTGTTTTGCATTCCCTAAGGTAACCTGTAGACTTATTAAATTGAAAGCATGCCCATTGCATCCACCTATCCATTTGTCAGGTTGTTAGTTCCTACTAGAGTATTAAAGAACTATTTAAGAACTTTCAGCATCACGAATCCCATTCATCCAGGGTACCAAACCATGCAAAATCAAACCAATAATACAGTGCATTATACTCCTTTTTATTCCTTTTTCTTTTTACAGTAGAACCTCGATACAAAGAAGTGCCAAGGGACTGACAAAATTTGTTCGCTATAGCGAGGTTTCATTATATCTACATACTTGTTATACCGAAGACTTTGCTATATAGAGGTTCCTTATATCGAGGTTCCACTGTATTTTGTACTCCTCCTTTTCTGGATATAACATTTATTGTTGTTTGAGCCACTTGCGACTTTGAAAGAATTTTAAGACCTTTAGGTTAAATGTTTAAATTGTATTTTGGCTAACCCCGTAAATACTCTGGTAAAATACATCTGTGACACAAGAAAAACCTAAACCTTGATTACCCACAATATTTCCATTATACCTTGACATCTGTTCCATCAGTGACAACAAAGTCTTCATAAATGTACGAGCCTTCTTTACGCACAGAACTCTCTGCTGAGTACACACTGCTTCTGTTTCCCACTTTGCGGAACAATCGTTGGCTTCCTCCACCAGCTGAAGAAGGGAAATAAATGTATACATTGTGATCTTCTGCATTTACTGGTTTCTCAACAAAGGGTTTATGGAACACCATATCACCAACTTGCACTGAGTCATCTGTCTCAACAAATCTTGTGTTGATAGGTTCACCAGTGTTTTCATCTCTAAGAAGGATTGCATGTCTGGGTGTTTCTATACCAGCAGTAGCTAAAAGACTGTACATCGTTGGTCTACAAGAGAACAGACTGTGATTTAGAAATACAGGAGAAGACCACCATGACAGAACAACTACAGGTGTATCAAGGAGTTTTACAAGGATTAACTCTAATCGAGGTGATGGCTGTTCAAGCGTTGATTCTGTATGAAACAGCTGTCAAAATATACCAATCATAGGATATACCAGAATCTGGTATACTAGAACCAGCATTTCTTTGGACAGCCAAATAATTTTCAGAAGTATTGCCTACAGTGTTTATAGTACCCTACATGCAAAAGAAATATTTTAATGGGGATTAGGCAACCCCCTTTAAAAAAGACTAGGAGACAAAGGAAATTGAGAATCAACCTAGGTTGAAGCCTTTTTAACCTGAACATAAATGGCCTACAACATAGGTAAACAAACCTGTCCATGAGGGCATATTGCATCTCCAGGTCATTCAAACTAAAAGGTTTTCTTAAATTGGCATAGTCAATAGCCTTCTCGAGAGGAAATCCTTTGGAGTAAAATGAGATAAGACAGTCACAGATGGGCCATTTTTCGACTGGTACATTCAGGATGGTGTCATCAGGGAACACAAAGATATCCACAAAGTCAAACACTGACATGCGACCAAGAATCTCTTGCATTGGTTGTGAGTTGGTCTGTGGAGAGAACAACACGTTGAGACTTTCATATTGCTGTTTCAACTCCCAATAATTGTGTTTCACCAAACCTCTGCAAACTCCACGCCTCAGTTGTTCAAAAGTTGGATAGCAATATCTACCGGATAAATCACTATCCACCAGATAAGTGTTAGGGAAACCAATTGCGCTATCCAGTGGATAGTGATTTATCTGGTGGATAGCGTTATCCATCTTTTGAACAACTGGGGCCAGGGAGATAGAGTATTCTAATGCAAAAAAACCTTTCTGGGCCTGTGCTGCCCAACAGGATCACGATAAAAGCGCTGATTTGAAACAGGCTACTCACATTTGAGAACTTTCCATGAGTGGAGCATAACATTTCAAAAGGAGGAAAGCTTTTCAATATCAAGAGTAAAATACAGCAATGTTAAATGTTAAGAACAGGGAACCATCTTGGATTAGGATAGCCTGCACATTTTTTAATAAATAATTAGTTCACAGGCAAATTTGGATGGCAAGGAGCAAATGAGTGTACCTGTTGCGGTTCAATTTTATCCTTGGTTCAAATTTTATTTCCCTTTGTTTAGGGGTATGGTAATGTATGATAATGAGTTTAAAACAAAAGAAAATAAAATTTGAACCAAGGATAAAATTGAACCACAACATACCCACATAAACTTACAACAGTAACTCCACCCACTTGAATGTAAAGTTTTGTGCTCAATAATAACCTTTAAAATTCAGAGATTCTTGTTAGATGATTTTACTGCAAGAATATTATCAAGATTTCCTGGTCATTAAAATAATGTGCCTAAATGAAATTTAGGCTTAGTTAAATTTGAGACATGGCTGGCCAGCAGTTTATTGTTGGAGATATGCAGGGGTGCGCTAATTATGTCACAGGAATTCATATTTTTTTTTTACAGCTATTTCCTTGACCAGGGTTCTATCTAGGGTATTTAAGGGGTAGAAGCTTCCCCCCCAAAATGCCCGGCTTCCCCCCCAAAAATATTGTTATCATTACAGTATATAAGTAACTATATCAGAACGTGATCACGACTAAAAAATAAAATAAAATACCACTGTAACATTTCTCAAAAGTGGGTCTCAAAATGCACCAGATTGCATCTCAGCGCATATTCATTTCCAAAAATTTCCGGGGGAGCAAGCCCCCAGCCCCCCCTAGGAAGCTCGTGGCCTCTGGCCACTCGGGACTTCACCCCTAAACGATAAATCCTAGATAGAACCCTGTTGACATCACTTCATTACCTTAGCATGTTGTTGCCTTTCATGGCTCGAACTTGCAAAGTGTTTTTTCCCTACCATCCCCCCCCCCCCCCCCCTGCAGAAAGTGTATTGTAAATATGTTAGGTTCCACTGATTACAGTTGTCGCACAATGACAGCAGTGCCTAGGTGAATGCCAGGTTACATATAATTTATGGGGCTCAACCAACCTCACAGGCACCTCCCCCTATGCTCATCTCTGTTCATTAGCTGAAACAACAGAACTGAACCACCATGGGCCACTGGACACTGTCCAAACAAGACAGAAAGGGCTTCCTGAGACACACCCACCTTTTTACTCATAGCACAGATACCAATCCTGATTTTAGGTATGCCATCCTCCTCATCATCATCATCTTCATCGCCACCATTATATCTACTGAATGCTGTTGGCTGGTTATCCATCTGCTCATATAATTCAAGGTGAGTGACAGACATAATTGACAGCTGTCACTCTTAGACTGATGCTAACCTCTGAAAAAAACCATGTAGAGAATTGCAAGATCTGAAAGAAAAGCAAAACCTTTCTTTAGAATTTTCAAGTCCCCAACAGACAAAAAGTATTTCCATGAGCGAAGCCAGGTTACAGGCATTCAGACAACGTCGCTTTTTGTTTGTTTGTAAGCAAGCACAATAATTGACAAGCTGCTTGAAAGCTAGTCAGCACTTATATCCAGGGTTAATTTTTGTTACTCTTGATTTGGGTTTACTTCTTATCACTTGTTTTGGATAACATAACTTTTTACACTCTTGGTAAGGATCAGCAGTATTTTTCTAAGCTTCATTCACATGCTCGTATTTTCGTAAAAAAATTGGGTTATTAAAAACTCGCCTAATCTGACAGTTTTGTTTTGCATTCCAAATTTCTTATACAAATCACAAACAGTTCTATGATTACCACAATAACCTAAATATGCAAACTTGTGTAATAGTCCATTGCCCTCAAAAAAGGAGATATTGCACAACACGATCACATGTCTGCTGATGTCTGTCCTTATACTTTTCTTCTGCGACGAAGAATTAATTTACTATGTTGACATGCTATCCCGTAATCGATAAACAGTGGATACCTGTGTCTAACATAAGGACCTCTAACATCTTTTAACGATGAGAAAGAAACAAAGTATCCCGAAATCCTAAAAGTCACTTTCGTCTGCACGTACGAAACTCAACCTTAGCTAACTTTCCTCCTCCATCATGGACACTTCTTTAGTTGATCTAACGCGTATTTTGATTGGCTACGGTGCTGCCCAATCACAAAAGTGTTTTTGTTCAGCAATAAGAAAATGACGTCATCCATCAATTTTAAAGATGGCTGCCATTAGAGTTAAAAGTATTGAAAGATTTCGCTTTTTCCAAACCTTCCCTTGACTTAATAACTGCTTGAAGTCTTCTATCATGCCTTCGTCGGAAAAGAAGACATTAAAGGACCTGCACGTGGCCTCCACCCTAGGAGAGCTGAACAAACTCGCTGATTCTAGCCTTCCAGCAGACTCTAGAAGTGTGAATCCCGCAACGTACGTTACTAAATATAATTCTGTATTGTTATTGTTTACTGTTATCGTTGCACTTTTCAGTCGATCAAATTTTAACAGTATACATGGAGTACTCCGATGGTTTATCGTGAACAGAGTGTAACACGGAGATGCTCTCTTGATTTAATTCTCAGAAGCTGAGTCGCATGTCAAATTTACCATTAAGCTCATTGCATATAAGCTTAAGTAAGCTTACCTAATTTTCGATACAAAAAACTGAAACTTACACTGTACCTAAGGAATATCAATAATAATCGGATAGTCAGGAGATATTTGTTTTCTTCTTTTTGATGATCTGGAATAGGTCTTAAATCTAAGTTTAAGGTACGTACTGTTTGAACAAAAAGAAAAGGTTTTCCGTGTTTGCATAACCTGATATAAACACGAGAGGGGCTGGAAGAATTTGAGACAGTTATGCAAACCCTCGACTTCGTTGGGGGTTTGCATAATTGTTGAGAATTTTCCCAACCCCTCACGTGTTTATATCAGGCTATGCAAATACAGGAGAAAAGTTTCCTGTTACTCTTTAAAAATTAACTGTCCTGCGAAAAAATGCAAAACTCCTTGTTATGGTACTGATTAAAAGAGAAATTTTCACCAGTCAGAAATTCTTGTACACAAATATCTTGGTCGTGTAATCAGTTTTGCAAAAAAGATGCTTTCCAAATTACAGATTTTTCTCGTTTGAAATGTCAGCTTAAGTGAAAAAAATTAGCACAGCATGTTCGTTAAGATTTTCCAAGTTTCAGCCAACGAGGGAATGGGTAAATAAGGTAAACTGGTGGAGTTTTAAACTCAAAAACTTTTTCAAATTCTTGCTTGCGTGATTAGTATGCAAAAAGCAAAACATATTGATGTCACAACCATGTTTACATACTCTCATGCAAACACACCTCTCAGCCAATCAGAGCACGTGCACTATCTTAGTTATTTTATAAGAACTTTAAGTTAATTTGCCTGAAATGCTGAGTTATGTCACCGGAATTTTTATGCTGCTCTATTACTAACCTGAGATCAGGCCCAATTTTAGCGGTTCTCATACATTCTCCCTAACGGCTACCGCTAAAATTGGGCCTGATACAAACTCTCTCACGTTTGTGCTCGTTATGGCCAGATTTTGGCCGTAACGCTGATTGGCTGTTAGAACAATGCCACAACATCTGATTGGCTGTTGGAAATGCCGGAAGTTGAAAGCGTTCATTCCTTGCGTGGTTGTCGTCGTGAATGATCCGTCGTTGGCAGAGAGAAGGATCGATTTTGCTGTCTTTTTTATTGTTTTATGGTCTTATGGTAGGAAAATATGCCTTGATATGTGCCATGGAAATTCAGAAAATTCATATGGTTGTTCGTATCTTCTCAGGATTTGCTTTATTTATGGAACTAATGTGAGTGTATCGCGGAGTTGAATCCCTCTGCAAGTTATTGACCACTAACAAGTTGCCTTTTGATTTACCAACAAGCGAGTGCAAATCAAAATACTGTCCATCTTTAAACTGGTTTCATTTGAAAGTTTAGCCGGGAATGACTTCTCTGAATGGGGTACGCAATCGGAGGCTCCCTGCAAAAGAAACCTCAATCGCCAATTGTGAAGTATTAAACCAAAAATATCACATGGCTGTTCAAGGAATTTTCAGTGTAGGCATTATTATAAAAGCTGGGCGCTTAAGGTAACAGACTGTTTTTTTTCCTTCGCTTTTTGTAAAAAATAAACCAGGAAAACTGGTGTCCTCGCTCGTTGGCTGTTTGCTTTTGTTTTTAAAGATTTATGTACTGAAAATCTGGAAAAATTGCCGAGGAAAATATTAAGGCAACAGAAAAATAACAGTAAATTTCAGTATTTTAAATTCGAGCGCGCCTAGCCAAAATAAAACTAGTAGAACATCGTGTCGCCATCTTCTCGAAAACTTTTTACCTTCTACGCCAAAAGAAATAACTTTTGAGATCTCCCTTAATCTCACAAGAAGTTAAATGTGACTGTGCTGTTTTATTTTAAGCTGAAAAAATTTAACAGATAAAAGCCAGTCTGCTTTTTTCCCACGTGTTATGAATTTGCAGACTAGAAAGACAAGCAACGGAAGTAATTTTGGTTGGCTGATTCGGCAAATGTCAATCAATCAAAAAAGTGAGCGGCAGACGTTTCGTAGAAGGTTTGTATCAGGCTCTCTTTTCGTTTCGCCTTGCCTGCCGGAATGTAATTTTCAAAGCGAAACGAAAATAGAGCCTGATCTCAGGTTACTCTATTACACTTTTATTGCACTTGTTTTGTCTCATCAAAGATAAAGGACAAGATATTACTCATTTATTGCACTTGTTTTGTTTCATTAAAGAGCGAGATATATTTCACATGTATCCCGCTTAAAAATCGAGGTATGTTTCACATTTATACCGCCAGATATATTACACACACACTTTATTTAACTTTTTTCTCTTTGTACATGTACACACGTACTACTCCTGATAAAATTCAGGCAATAAAACTCTGTATTGCGGGCAGTTTAAATAAAAACTTCAGGTGACATATATGTACATGTAACTCTGGTTTTGGGTGACATAACTTCAGGCAAGATGACTTTCATTTGACTTGACCGGTTACTAACCAGACAGTGGATCCAAAGAAAGATGAAGGGCAAGATATATTAATCTAACTTTTATTATGAAGGGAATCTATTTTTTGATACAGTGAAATTAACAATGTTTTGCATCTAACTGACTTTATGATGCAGCAAAAGGACTTGTAATGAAATGACTTTGCAGAGACAAAACTGGACACCGACTAGTTCAGCAGTGCTTGAAACTTTTATGGACGGTGTTTTGAATGCCCACTGTAAGCTCCAAACTAACAAAATGGACTGAACAATAGTTATTAAATTTTTTCTGTTTTATCTGTATTTAATTGTAGTTTCATCAAATCAGCTGATAAGGTGTACCTAAAGGCAAAGGATCACGATTTTGAAGGAGATGAGGAGAATGCTTATGTATTCTACATGCGTTTTTTTAATATTATCACCTTGATAAAGAGGAGCAATAAATACACAGAGAAAAAAGTAAGTGAAGGATTGGAAAAGCCAGGAAATAGCTCTCCAAGCTAATTTATTTTTTGTACAAAGTGTTGATGAATTATATTCTGCATGTTCATGTATATGTTGTAGTTAATTTTTCGTCTCAAGTAATTTTTTTTTGTTTTTGGGTATGTTAATGAATGTTACTGTGAAACTCACAAAACTATGAAAACCAGAAATATTCATGCAATGTTATTGTGTTGCGAGAAATTAGCCAATAAGGCACGAGATAACTAACACTCAAACAGCAGACAGTTATTAGTTTGTGGTTTTGAGGTTTGCTTGCGTATTCCTGAACTTTAGTATAATTGGCCAGTACACAATCAACACTCCTGAAATTTTTCAGGTGTTCACAGTTTTTGGAGTTTGACAGTAATGGAGTTGAAACAAAAGAAAAAGAAAAATTTACCTGAGACAAAAAATTAACTACAACATAAATTATATGTTTATGTGATTGGTGACAACCAGTTCCCTTCCATAACTTATGTGAACTTACCTCAAGTTACAGGTGCTTTAAGGCCAACGTCACCAGTTGAAGCTTATACAAGTTACTATCAGAAACTTTCAGAAATGTTCAGTCAAATCAAGTAAAGCACAATTCCATAATTCTTTAGACACTTTTAAAAAGAAATGGTCTCAATTAAAAATCTCCCCTCTTTAACTGAATGTACTATTCTGTGGAAGTGAACTGTAGGCGGTGCTCTGTAGATTAAAAGATTTAATACATTACCTGTCCTGTTTAAGTTGTCTGTCTGTTCGTTTGTTTGTTTGTTTTTAAAGTCATTGTTGATATGTCTTCCCGTGTGGAAAAATGATTTCAAAGCACTTTAGTATGATTATGTCA